ATGATGCTGGATGTTTTCCCGGATTGAGGTGCCTGCAGCACAACCAAATACCCGTTTTCTAATCGCCTCGTTGCTGATACGCTGACGCCATCCACAACCAGCCACGCTTCTGAGGCATCGGTGGTCGAAAACCTGAAGACGCCTCACATCATCTACCCGAAGAGGCCATGTCTCGCACCCATACAACACAGCCCTTACTGCAGCCTGGTACACACGACCCTAAGGATCCAATGAGATGCTTTTTTGACGCCACAAGTGACGCAAATTAGCAAATGTGATCCGAGCCTTTGAGATTCTTGCACTGAATTCACCAGACACAGAGCTAACACAACTACCGAGGTACGTAAAGTTTTCCACAATCTCCAGTGATTCTCCTTGAGTTGTAAGGGATATGTTCAGAGACCGGATGTTCTGAAGTATGACTTTGCAACTTGTAGGTGCAGGGCGCACGCCTAAAGATGCTATGGTGGTGGTCAGTCGATTCAACAGGGCTTGTGCCTGCTTCGATCTTCAAAGATGAGGGTGATGTCATCTGCGTACTCCAGATCGACAAGGCTCGCCCTAGCAACAATTTGAACACCAGGGTTTTGAGAACCGTCCAGTGTTCGCCTCATTATTTCATCGATGATGAAGTTGAACAAGAATGGGGAGAGTGGACATCCTTGTCTGACACCACTTTTCGTAGGAAAGATTTTGGAGAAGTATGTGAATATAGGGATCGGATTATGTTTACAAACTTCTGGGGCATACCCTGTTGAGCAAGTGTAGTTAACAGAACTGATCGAACGCACCCTTGAGGTCAAGGCCAGTTTAATTTAGCAGGACTCCTTCATCTTTAAATATCCAGGAGACTTCATCTGCTTACTTTAATCCCACAAGATTCTCACCAGCAGTTATTCGGAATCTGGATACCTTCCTCCCATTTCTTCATCAGTTCATCGACGACGAAATTTACTGAAGAAAGACCATTTATTATAGGAAGTATTTTACACTCTCAGACTCTAAATTACATGAACATTAGGGCGACAATATCTCTACAAACTTCTGGGGCATCCCCAGCTAAGCAAGTGTGGTTAACACCATTGGTCAATCAATAGAATCAAACGCACCCTTGAAGTCAAATAACACCAAGATTGTGGGCCATCTGTACATAAACCATTGCTCCAACACTTGAAGATCTGGCCGACGTGGACTCTACCTGGTCGGAATGCCACTTGATGCTCCCAGGTAGAAATTTTGTGTGCTGTCATATGATGGCAAAGAAATAGTAGCAATGGAAGCCTTGTTACAACGAGATCGTCTTACGCCCTTTTGCTTAGTACATTGACTGCGGGTGTCCTTCACGAAAACGGGCATTTTATAGTCTTACCTAAGTTGTCTCAAACGGTTTCTTTCTTCCTGGTAAACCCAAGTAGGGCCGTCCTTAAACATATCAGGTGAGAGGTTGTCAATACCAACTTGAAGCTTGATTGTAGATGTACACTGTGGAAATTCTGAGGATGAGGGAAGTCTAGTAGTCTTGGGTAAAAGTTGCAGTTGTGCGACTGAATCGTTGCTCAACGTATTGTGCGCCGTGGTTCAAACGTTCTCCTTCGCGGGATACCCAAGTTCCTTTTAGGTCTCTGATGACTTAACTGACAAAAGGCTTCCGAAGACCTGTCGAACAAGTCCGTGGAACAACCTTCGGATGTTTTCATCAAGCTTCCACGTTCACAAGGACGTTAAATTTTACCTGAGATCAAATGATGCGGCAGTTTGGTTTGTGGACGCCACCTGGCTTCCGGCAAAACCACGTTGCAACCATAGGCCAAGGTTTGGACTAGGGTCGCTGGGTCGCTCTTCAGGCAGAAGTTCAGGCTTCGAATAGCATCTCAGTGGCCGTTGACAACCAACACTGGCCACCATCCTACAAACTTTCAAAAAACGGTTCTGACAGGTTTGTCTCATTTCTTGTCATTGTCCACTAGCTTCCCAATGGCTAAACGAGGTGTGCGAGATTTGCTTACACCAGAAAATTGCAATGAAAAGCAACTGCGGGTAAGAGCGGTCGGAGTCCACACCGGAATTCCAGAAGCGCCAGGCAGTGGTCGACCCTCACCCTCGGTAACTGACGACGATATGGTTTATTTGGATTTGGGACTAGTTGGTTAGTGGGGTTTTAGGCCATTGTGAAAGCATGTCTGGAGTGTTATTGAAACTGTTGTTAACAGATTTAGAGCAACAGTCAGTTTGGGGGTAAGCAGGCACAATAAACAAGTTGTGATGGACCTCACTCCCTCGAGATACTTTCATAGATGTTTTTAAACGAACCACGCGGAGGCGACAACAGACTGGTACCCATCTGATTGAAAGGTATTTACGCTCTGTGTTCCAACACAATACTGACACATAGCACACATAGCCGCAGTGGCTTCCGCGTCACAAGAGCTGTGAAGCTGGAACGTGGAAGAGAGCGAGGAGCTATTAAACCCAAGTACGGTACTTGAATGATGTATGCTTGTTTCTGACAGACAGCACGCATCAGTGTAGACAGAATTCTGCGTACGAGCAAGGATCGCTTGTTGTCCCACTTGTTTTAGTGTGCTAACAATAAAAGTAGCTAAGTAGGCCAGTTTTCGTGATTTGAAAACACCGAATTCGAAGTGGTCAGAGTTTTTAACAAACATGAATACAGAAGCATCAGCTGATGCGGTACAGAGTGAACAAAGCGGTCAGCTTTAGTTCCGGGAACTGCGGAAACTAGTAAGCTTTTCCTCTATGGTACGGGCTTACCGTATTAAGTGCACTAGGAAGGGAAGAGGGCTGTGACATAAATGCAAGCTTATTTCATTCATTTACGAATCTGGTAAACAGAGGGCGAACCTGCAGCATAATAGGAAAAAAGAAATCTTTCATCAAACAGCTCACTATTTCTTTGAGAGAAGGTTTCCGGTTTACCGGTTTTGTGTTCAGCCTTCCTTTTTCGTTTCAGCGAAATGTTCCATTATTCATATTGTAGCTTCAACGATGAGCTAACGAAGATTATATCAGCATGTGTAAATGGATGCGTTGCTCCCTGAGTGGTCTAGTGTTAAGGTTTTTACTGCACAATTTCTTGCTGTTTCCATTAGCTGAAGTTGAATTATTTTCACCCATCTGATGGTGGCATGTACTTATGCAAGCCTAGAAAACTCTCCTATAATTGACAGACGAGGAGCTGTTAGTTTTGGTGCGGTTCTTCGGTACTTTTCCACCTAGTTCAGATGAATTTATGAATTATAACTTGGTCGAGCAAATACTCGACCAATCCCAATCAATTTGTCGGCTACGAAGGGAGCACAGTTTCTGCAGCTTCAAGTGAGACAGCCTGGGACGTAAAGCCAAGTCTTAAAGGCGATGTCATGTTCAGTTGGTCCGGGAACTGAGCAACACGTATTGTAGCTGGGAGATGTGATGCAGGATCGCCGTTGGCTGCACAGTTAGGCTAGTTATACCAGTGTCATTAACCACCGGTGAGTTGAGCTCCGGAGTTTCTATCCAGGGAGGTGTCAGTTGTCGATCCGGCCAAGTTAATTGGTTAGTTCTCTTATACTTTGTTTCCAGGTTGTGCACTGTTTACCTATCGGTCGCTTCCATTCAGCAAAGAAATAGGCTTAAAGAGCTTTGCGAGGCAGACGGTCTTCTGGCATCCGGAGTACATGTTCTAACCAGGATAACCTATGGAGCGTGGGTGATTCATCTGTCGTGGGAGGGTTCCACGTTCCTGGGACCATCTGGCACACTTGGGTATTGCTAATCAGATGTTCCCACTACACCCAACCAATGCTGTGGAGACACCGAGGCTAAAACACTGACATCGTTCGTACGTAGCCTTGAGGATAAAAGGTGTCATATGGCGCGTACAATTCATGAGACAGATGAACAGATGAAACGGCTCCTATAACGATATAAAAACGGAAAGTCTACGCAACGCACTGATGGCCAAAAAACAAGACAAGTCGACCTGGAATGAAAGCTAAAAAGGCCACTTACATAGGTTACCAATGGAAGAGTAGAACACATCAAATTATGTAGAACAAACTCATTTAACTGGGTTCGAATGCATGCTTCTTAGAGAAAAATGCTTCTGTACTGTTCCTCAGAATATTTATATGTCCAGTAAAAATGCGGGTATCTTACTCAATAAGTTTCAAACAGACTTACATCTGCTTCCCAGGTGCAACGGAAGATTCATCAACTATTTTATCATATTTCGTGATGAACTGATCCATAGAACCATAAGAGCCAAATCCTCCGCACTCTGTGTTTATAATTAGTTCACCTCCTTCGGCAAACTTGGCGAAGGGTCGATTAATTCGTGTTGCCTTTTCAAAGTAGCAGCAATTCATTCCGGTACCTGTAAGTATGGTTTTCCATTACTTTGGGGCGAGCTTCGATGTAAGTTCTTAGTAACGTCTCAAGACGTGGATCCAAACACTTCAGTAATATAGGTGGAAACTAACACGCGTATTAGCTAACTGCAAGGCCTCATACTTGGTGAGTAAAGCATGTTGGAGTTATGTTTAAAAATCGTTCTTTCCGTAGCTCCAGTGTGGGTCGAAAATAGGCATGGAAACTAGTTCGCAGTCTCATGGAAATCCAGATCAGCAGTAGGCAGCGGTGATACAATTCATAATGAATATGAGGACAAACAGACAAAACTATCAGTGCAAACTGTTCAACTAACCCGTCAACCTTTTGCACAACTTCTATAAAACGCAGTGAATTCATTATAGATGAGGCATACTCAAGTATTCAAAGTTTGAGCAGAAAGCATAATAGATCCAGAAGTGGGGTTAGACCAGAGGGCTTATAGTCTGCAGCTCAGACTACCTGTTCCAACAGAGAAAGTCTGCGTCGAAAGCACTGCTCGAGGAATGTGTAGTTGTAATAAGAATAATAGCATCTTACTAAAAAAAGACCCACTGATGCTATATATTAGTTTTCATGTTCCGTATGAGCTCCACCATCGTTGGGGGCAGCAACGTTGGTGCTGGCACTGACGGTTCATAGACGTACAGAAACAAAGCTTAGTCAATTATACTCAACGCTGTGAAGTTGAAAAAGAGAAGATAGTTTGCGAGCGAAGGATTTTGTGCTGGATTACCGCATGCATTTGGAGATATCTACAATTCAAAAACTCAACTGAACCACACCAACTTGCTTGAAAAACGCCTTGCTTTAAGAAACGTAACAAAATGTCAGGACATCGTCATCTCAAAAAAACGTATAAAACTCTCGGAAGCCCGGCATTAACCAGAATTAAACAAGTTGCACGCACTGCATCCGGAAGTTTGCTGAAACTCTCTGGTGAGTTCAAATGTTCCATGACCCTTGATGGTATCAATCTAAGTGGGATTTGTCATGTGTCCGATCGTCCTGGATTGGATTTGTTAGGATTAGACTGGAGTGACAAGCTAAAAATTTCGGACAGGCCACTCAATATCTGTTACAAGACATAGGTGACGAAACCAAATATAGTCAAAATGCTGCCTCACTCGTTTTGGAAGAAGAGCTCGGAATGTCACAGTCTGCGCACTAAGCCATACCACCCTTGATCAAATGGACAAGCCGATCTGTGTTAAAATCGCGGGGATAGGGACAACTAGATGATGTCAGCTTTTCTAACCAAATATGCCTATTAAGGCCTCCCCAGACAAGCTTACGTTTGGGAGAAAGTAAAGACATTGTTCGATGCATTGCGTCCCCGGAAAATCAGAGGGACGGGCGAGGAAAACCAAGCGGGAAAATTCAACGGCAGATATCGCACTAAACGCGATTTTAGCCGTGGAGACTTCGTTTTTGTCAGCGAATCGCTGGACTTCAGGAGTCATATTGCAACTAAGAGGGAACGTCATTTATGAAATAGGTGTTGGTGGAACGGTGTGGATTAGGCATGCCAATCAAATTCGACATTGCGTGCGAGGCGATACAACCCACAAAATGAATTCGCCGTTAGACATCCTCATCGAAACGTTGGAGAGGCAACCGAAAAATAAATCAAGGGGACCAAACATTGGCGTCAACCCATCTCTGCTGCAAAGAAGAGGGACGATGAAGAATTTCAATAAATTTCAAATAAATTCCAGGTTGAGAACCTACGATCTATCTGCAGAATGGGGAAGTGTCAAGACACGCCCAGACATGAAAAAAGCACATGTACAGAGAGTAACGCATCCTCAAGTTTATCGTCGATACCACACGTTCCGAATAGCAAGTGCGTCGGCGGAGCTTACTAAACACGGCTTAGCAACACACGATCAGCGAAGTGGGGTTGAGAGTGTTCACGGCCGAAATATCGCCAATGGTTGTACAGAACAAACGAGTGAACGACCACACTTGGCCATTTAGTCGTCCTATATATTTATGCAGAATTTCCCTTTGTTTTGCCCTGATAATTAAGCTGTGTCCCGAGTTCTATGTCTTCTCCTTATCGCGTAGTCTGGCAGACTTAGTGCAGGCGTAACCAATAGACGGCTGCCCACGATACAACATAAAAGGTCGACAAAGTGACCCATGCTTGTCTACCTGGAAAACAATTTGGGCCAACTCAAATTAGGCTAATCATAGTTAAGGTTAGAATTTTCATGTGCACATCACTATTGAGAACACATAATGGCATGACAGTAGACGTTCAGTAGATCGTCGTCGCCATCATCACCATTACCATCATCAACGACAGCATGAAATCAGTTTTCAACACCGGTGCTTCATTGCCGAGCAATCACGAGTGACTTAAATGACTTATTATGAAGAAAAGATTATAGGAGAGGGGGGAAAGACTTAGTGCTATCTTGCTGAAATCATTCCAAGGTGCCTACAGCCTCAAACACTCATTCAGGCAATCTGGATAGAAACTGACAACAAGAACGCCACTGCCAGCGGTTGGCAACCATATCTTGCAGTATCTCCTACCAGGTGCAGTAGGGATCATGCTGTCCCCATTTTGGAAGGCGAGTAGCACCTGTAGCGACCCAGTCACCCATATACTTGACTGCTCAACTCACAGTCGCTCACTGGATCGCGAGGCTTGTCTTTTTTCTCATGCGCACAAACACGTCGCATTAAGCTGACTCATCGAACATCGATTGTCTGCACCGCCTAGTCAGCGTAGCGACCACTCATGTGCCGACGCGCCCACGTATACGCACTGAGACCTACATAAAGGGAAAGCGAACCCAGTCAGGACACACAGACTCGCGCACGCGCAAGGAACAAGGAGTCAGCCAAGCACTCCAAGTCCACGGACAATCATGAAACACGTGTAGCAGCTATACTGCGAAGAAAACACGTTCCCACCGTCCGGACTTTTACCAAGGGACTCTCACATACGATAAGTTCCCTTTTGACTCGCTCCCATTTCGCATTGTATTTTTTTATACGCGTTGCAACCCTCCACTGTCCACCATACTAAAAACTTCTATTAGTACACATACACCTGATTTGTATCATGGCTATCACCACCTGTGCACTAATACACCAACAGCACCCAAACGAATAGTTATCTCCTTCTTCCCCCTCTGCCAGAGAAGTCCTCCTTGCATTCAACTGGCTTATGAATAGGCTAAAAAGGGCTTGCAGAATAGTCTGTGCATGCTCCAAAAAACTAATTCCGCTGGAACTCTTGGTCCGAGGAATACAAGGAATTGTTTTGGACGATGAAGCCCTGAAATAACCGATTAAAAGATGAAAATTAATCAGTGACTCGGCGTTTCAGTGCAACTGTAACCACCTTGGCACCGAAGAACGTAACAACTGCTGTGGTGGCAGGAATATTTCCATATGGTAGTTTATGACACGCTCTAACATGAATTTTGGCGCACCAAAAAGCTTGACCAATGCCGCTTGAGAGAATTGGCATAAAAATATCTGTCATCGGCATTCCAAAGAAAATATGGGTTCTTAAGGCGATCGTATGGCCCATCGTATGCTTCCAAGTACTTCTTAGCAGGATGCTCCATACACTTATCCGACTTTATTACATCATCTCAGGTTAATCCGGATGCTTGAAGTACTGCGTGAGATGGCTCAGGGTTAGAGCGCGAATTTGCTGACGGGTAGGTCCGTAGTGCGAACCCAACCATCGCCTCTCGACTTCCCCTGTCTACGCATCGGCAGCCTGGCAGCATCCCATCCCTCGCGCTTTCTTCTGGTGGCGTGACAGGTAGGCACCGAAGGGGTGCTACAGCTGAACTAATGAGACAAAATCCGTAAAGTTTCTCCTAATCAAGGAGGCAGAAAATCGTCCATCCATTCTTGGTGTTCTCCAAGAGTGCATCAGGTTTCAGCTTGATATGATAGATTAACTCAGCAAAAAAGTGTGAAGCATACTCAAATTCAGTTTCACTCTCTACCGGTTTTCTTTAAACGCTTTGATAATTATATACCAACCACTTGCTGATACTATGCTAGTATAAAGACCTAAACACACTCAACTTTATGCCTTTTTCGGCGGTGATGCAGAGCTTCAAGAGTATTCTTTTTAAACAAATGGGTTGCCTCCATATTCTGTTTGACAAAAGTATACCCTAGGTCCCAAATCCACCAATTTTAACTGGACTAAAAAACTGGTAAATATTTAAGAGAACTAACAGTAGTGATGGTTTGAAGCAAAACATTACTTATTGGTAAATTTTGCTACTTCACTGCATATAAAATTCCAGACAACAGCTATATTTAAACGAGCTGACATGGGACAGAGCAGCCATGGCGTACGGCAGTGGAACCATTTTTTCCTGGGACCGAAATTTTTAGAGCATTTATACATTAGAGCAGCCCAGTCCGAAATTGAGCCAAATATAAAGTTTGACACAGTATCCTAGTTAAGCACTCAGAGCAATGAATACACAAGCGCAAACAGTGACACACAACCAGTCTCTTTCACTCAAGCCAGAGGTAATGATCAACACAACGGTTAAAATATGGCGTGAAATACGCACTTTGCTGCTTCACTTATTTATATAAACAAGATTCCAAAAACCACCGAGAAATGTCACGCACTGTAGCCTTATCGTCAGAACTGCAATCACATTGTGTAAAACACTGCGTTTTGAATTATAAACTTTACAATCATCAGTGGAACTTAAAGGGAGACTTCTCCGTCGATGGTCTGGGAAATTTGTCAATGGTCGTAAACGGATCAATTTGCTTTGTTTCTTTGGAGTTGCTGCCACTACTGAGGGGAATGAAACAATCTCTATGAATAAGGGCTGAGTGATTTGCATTTCTGGTTAAAATGTCCAGCCCAGGCTCCTCTAAAAGGATCCATTACCTAGCTAGGTGATAAAAATGCTTACCTAAACAAAGTCTGCTACAAAGTGATCCGGAAGATTAATTGTCATTGTGTACTTGCCTCAAATAAATAAGACTGAGCACACAGTCACTTCTGTTACGCTTACAATGCGTACCAGTACCAATGGCTTGTAAAGAGGCAACCATGTCTAAAAAATGAGGCAATTATCAAACGTGTGTACCACTCACAAGTGAAATATAATTTAAGACTCACTAACAATCAGTCCGATGGCACATTCTGGATCTTTTGCAGCACAAGCCGCCAAAACACCAACTGTGTCATTGAATATGGCTTGTATTTTTACATCCAGGCCCTAATAATTTATAAATGCGGTAATTAAGCGTGGAAGTGCTCACCAGGTTGTCCAGTGCCTCCTGTAAAAGTGCGCAAACATCACGTCCAACTACGGAGTCACAAGCGAATTCTTTTGTCCATTGGATCAGATAAGCAGTAGAGAGTGACCGTAGTTCGACAGGAAAGTTGAACGAGACAGCCAAATCGAAGCTATTTTCGTGTAATTTTCGCATCAACAAGAAGTCATATATCGTTTCAGCAACATATTTGAAGAACAATAAGTTTTCGGAGTAATATGGAATTAGTTCTTACAGCTTCACCCGACTGAGTTCTCACTTTCTTCGGTATGGTGTACAGGGTTTCATCGATGGTTGTTTTGTCCGCCTCTGATGACATCGATACCAGTAAAATGCGGTAGTATCTTCCTTTGAAGTCCAGGGATATATATTGCCCAGAAACTGCAAACACGTGTTACAGAAAACACCCCTACTCCTCTGTGATGATAGCTCTTTAACAAAAGTATTCAGCATCTTGAGTTCTTTTGGTTTATCGTCTTCGGTTGATAAACCAACGTCTAATTCTTTGTTTAACTTGTTCATTAACTCCTCCAGCTTCGAGGTTTCTAGCAGCAGAGGTGAGCACAGCTTCTTGACCTTATTTATTGAGGGTCAGTTTTAAACGTGTCTACCTCTTCACTTGCCAAATTTAAGAATGATTCATCCTCTCGTCGAGTACTATTCAGGAGGTCCAAACTAGTTAACCCGTAGTTACTTCAATTAAAGCAGTACCTTTTGATCGAACGGATTGAACGAATGTTGCTAAATAACACATTGGTTATCTGTGGATATCGGAATTACTTATCCATCCAGATCCATAAAATGCACCCGCGTGGCGCGGTTACCACGATGAAGGTTGAAAAAGTGCTCTTGACTGCTGACCTTGCAATGGTGTTGTACCAAGTTCACGGGATCCCATTGCCTCCACTTAAGCGCTCCACTATTTTGCTGCACAATTCTGTTCAGGGGTTACGGAGTGGTGCTTGAGAAAGTTTTCTCTTGTCAGTTATGTTCTGTGTTCTCTTTGCTTCTCCCCATTCTAGCCCTTGTCGCCCTACTATTTTGCCTTTTTACCTGCACAGACCCCATAGGTTTTCACGGATTCACGGATTGATACACAGGATCGAGGCTTTTGCCCAAGTTTCCCGGGTCGGTTTTGTTCTTGCCGGTCAGTGGCTGTCGTTCACCTGAAAGGCACAAGTGAATAAAGGGTGTAGCACTGCTCTTTATGTTCTCAGCGCGGGGCAGTATGCTCGCCAGCGCGAGGATTCGCATAAATAAATGTCTAATAGTGCTTTAAATTGGGTTCGAGAAGGAGCGTGCACAACCGTCGGAGGAAGGTCATTCCACGCAGCTACTACCCGAAATGAAAAAAAGTTTTGTCTAACGGATGTGTGTGCCCTGAGCTTGAAGATTTTCGTACTATGTCCCCGCCGGGTGTTTGCTGGGTAAACGGTAAAAAACCTGTTTGCCAAGCTTTGTTCAAACAAGGCGTAGGTAAGAATTAGGTCCCCTCGGAGGCGACGGCACTCCAGGGGAAAGAGATCAAGCGTCACGAGACGCGTTTCGTAGTCCACGGACTTGAGGCCGGCAACCATTCTCGTGGCGGCCCGCTGGACACGCTCAATGAGGGTAACGTCTTTCGTACGTCCTGAGTAGACAACTTGGTCGGCGTACTCCAGGAGCGGTCTGACGTAGGCCCCATAGAGTATTTGGAAGTCCATGCGAGTAATACGGGAGAAGGTACGTCGGATCATCCGTAAAACGGCGAATGCCTTTTGGGCCGATTTCTCATGGTGTAGTGCGAAGGACAAGTTTGAGGAGACCCAGATGCCCAAATCTTTTTTGGCATCTATCCTCATGATGTTTTCTGGTCCCTTTTCACCATGAAAGTCTAATGGAAACCCGGTAATATTGGTCGAAAATCAATAATGGGGCAGTTATCAAGAGCTGGTGCACTAAAATCAACACACCTCATGTCTCGTAAACTTCTGTTTCTCAAATCAATTTTTATCGCAGGTCATTTTCTGAGGGAAATGTGTCAACTAAACACCCGCTCGGAGTTCATGTGTGGAAAGAACGTTCATCGGTAATACTCACTCCGTGGGGGGGGATTACGTATCTATACTGTTATGACCAATGGCTTGGGGCGGCAGCTCGGGCATGGTTGTTTGTGGATGAAGATCAGAATCTGGCCTGTTAGGTGTGTTCGCGGGCGAATCAGACGTATTCAGGGTTGGTTTCAAGCTTTGAGTGTCATGTGAACGGGTATGAAATAATAATAATAACAATTCCCAGCTAGCGCGTTGCATACCGCCGCATACACAGTCTCCAACATACGTGGGATGAGGCGTCCTTATTCTAAGATTTTTCAGAGTTTTAAAAATTTTGGCGACCCTTCGCCAAGCGGATCCCACCGGTCCCTTGCCCTATAAAAGGATAATCTCCCCGTATTTATTTTGAGAGAAGCTGATGAGACCTTTGAGAATAACCTTCAAGCTTTCCATTTGGTGAGACAAATATTCACCTTAGATGAGTGGAATCTGCCGGACACTTTCTTGTCCATCAGGAGAGGTCAGGGAGGTGGGTGAATACGTCTCTGAGTCGCACGTCACTTTGAAAGTTTTAGGGGTGTCCTCCTTCGGTATTTTGGGGCGGATAGTGTGAATCAGTGAGCTGCATTTGAGTACATAAGGGTTAAAACCTACCTGTTTATGATGTTGGAAGGTCAGTTTTGGTTAAGGCGTCATATAAAAGGTAGATTTACTAGATAGTGGGTTGACTTGTATGATGGCTACCAGATATGATATTGGCCACAGATTTCGGAAGGTCAGGAACACGCATCGACCAGTGAGACATTTCGCCCACTAGTGAAGGAGACAAATATGGGTACACTTTCACTGCAAGGGGTCAGTGCATTAGCACTTCATTTGCATTTCACGGTGAACCGTGTTTTTTAGACAACTCTCACCGTGTGTCTCCACTTTGAATTGCTGCATCCCTTCATCCCCATTTGTGCTTCTTGTGACCATGACCATCTATTCAACCGTCCTGGGTCAATCAGAACCAGCAGTAGTTTTTCAGTTTCCATCCGATTCAATTTGCTTTACGTTTGGGCTAGGCGTACCCCATGTCTCAACGTTCCGTTTTTGTTTTCTACAATCTACGATTACTTATTACTTGATGAGTTTATCCCTTTGTCCTTACACCCCCCATGGTATCGTTGCCTGACGCGTTCTCCTTGTAACAGCTTATCATGCGTGAACTGTCCTAACTTACACAAGTACGGAAATAGACCTATCATTATTAAACCACCATCTTATGATTGATTGAGTATTGCGTGAGTGGACCATCTCCGCGCTCGAAGACATCAACGCTGAGTGCTATGTTAAAGGGCCGGACAGGCCATATACAAGATACGGAGAGAGTGTAAATGGCAACCTGAAGATTAGAATACACGAGACGCTGCTCCCAGCCTAAAGGCCTGCGATTTATTTTAGCCGAAATCGTCTGCAGTGATGATATTAGACAGGGGTGCCTTGCCCCGACGTATAGCCTCAAGGCTGGTACAGTTTTTGTGACAGCGCAAAATAATGTATACGCAACTTTACGGGTTTATTTGACAAATGGCCAAGGACAGAATTTCTTAGTATAGGAGAAATAGGTAAATGAGATCCTCAAGGGCCCCAAAACATTATAATCTCCCCATATTCAGTTTATCAAAATGGAGGAAGATGTACAATGCTTATGGACTCACCTGGAAAGCAGCAGACGCTTTGTAGCCTATGTCGATGCAGGGAAACCAAGCAGAGTTTTAAGGCTTGTTCGCTTACGGCTGTTGCACACACATAAAGCTGCATATCTATTGAGTTACCCCTAGCACAAGCTGGCAGACGTTTCCGAGATTAGGAAGATGTCTGTGAGCACTGTCTTTAAGAGTAGCTTAACCAACTAGAAGAACGGACTATACCCCACGAACTACCGCCAAAACCAGAAATCCACTTAGTTCTTGAAATAGAGAAGAGAAGATCCCACTTGCTTCGCGTGACACATATGGTAACTTTCCGACTACAAGAGTGGATGGCCCAAGATCCGGCCATTCAAGCAAAAATGTAACCACTTACTATTTGGGAGCCATGTCAACAGAGACTTCGCCGCAGTGGGTAGAGGAACACTCAAAGTTTGTGGCCGTTATTGCCCAAAAAGGTACCTTCCTTTTAGGCACGATTATGCTGTTGAATCCTGCGCTCTGGTGTATGTACGGTAACAAACTGATGCAAATAATGTGCTAAGATTGGGCAAAGAAACTCCCTATTTTCCACGTTACTGAGCTGATAGTAACTTAAAAGATGCCGTAGAGATTGAGATGCAGTGCAGAAGTAGTGATCAAAGAATCGGAGTCAGCCGCTGACATACAATTTATACTAATTTATATTATGGGCGTCCGGGTGACGCGCTCAGCCAGGATCTATGCAGAGGCGTAGGCAATGATTAACAGAGAGAGTATCACTGACTGATGCAGGATAGGCGTCAGCAGTCACATGTTTGGCTTGTTCTCATTAGTGAGTGCGGCTTCTCGGATGCCCGGAGTGATGAAGTTACGCGACGGTAGATGTGAATGCAATGTGCTTTCGTCTGTGATTTGTGTGTAGAGCTACTGGGATTGCCTTGGTATCAAAACTTGGCCAAGCGAACGGTTGGTGCTCTTAAATTAAACGTTCAGATCAACTGATTGACCGTGTGGCAGAAAGGGTTAGACTAGTTGCCCAATTTATTTAACGGTAACCCAGATGGCCAAAAAATTGTTTTTCATAATTCGTTACAGTGATAAACCTTGTAGAAAACCATTCAAGCATTGAATTCGTACCGTCCTGTATAGCCTAACGGTTTGTTGTGACTCGCAGACGGTTTTACTACAACAGGGTGCAGGGGTTTTGAGATGGAAACCACACTATTCTTACCATTACCATTATTGTTATTACTTTTGTATATTTTTTATACACATTAATTTCGGTTCACGTAAGACATCAGTGGTCACCCGCCTGAAACTTGCACGTTCAAGTGCAACCAACAGAGAACGGGTTGTGATACACATAACGTAAGTATCCGCAGTACTGTCATTGCGTCCGTTGGATGTTTGTGGGCTACGCTTGAAGCAAATCACCTTGGCCGACGTGACAGCGTAAGGTGCAATGCTCATAAAATTAGATTTTGCACCATGAAGCACGCGTTTATATTTGTATTTTCATAAATGGCATAAACAGCTTGTTGAAACAAGCAATGATCAGATTCCTATTCTTCACAATTTCATCGGACTAGTCCTGGGGTATTTCGTTTGGCTGAACTGGTGAAGAACTTTTGAGCGACAATCACGTGCAAATTGATGTGTTTAATTTTGTAGGCCTGGTAGAAGAAAACAATTCAGCTGATAAACAGTCATTGTATTACATATATTTAGCCATACGACAACCTATAATTTTTCCCAAATTCACCAATATACTCATTATGATTACCTTTTATCATGATACGCATCCCGGGACGTCGTGTCCAATCGGCCTCATGGGTAAGTTCTTTTGATTTAATTTTACTTCGCTGTATGCGAAGAAAATATTGAAGATCAGACAACGGTTCTTCGAGTCCGTTTAAAAGCTGACAATTTTAAAACCACTCAACTTATTTCAAACGAAGAGCCACTGTACATGACAAACCTACCCAGTCTCCTGACGAATTTTCAGCTGCCATCCAGTCAAATGATACCATAGCTTCTTTAGGAGCTTGTCCTTGCCCACTGCAGACTCTGACTTTAATTTGGATAGGTTGTGTTCGAAATCCCAAAGCCCTTCAAAAAATTGGACGCGTTTTTTAAGGGCACACCGTTCTCTCTAGGCATCAAGCCTAATGCAGACGTTTCATCACCAGTCGAGGTGACATCGTCAGTGCAGGGTTGAGTGGGTCACACACCCACTATTCGCTCGGCGAACAGACCAACAACAAAACAGCGCACCCGAGCTGCTTACATTCAACAACATTGCTAGTAATGTTTTTTCTCAGCTTGTGGGTGGCATACCGTCAGTTGTAATCATAATGTTGCAGTCAGAATAAAAGACTGACTAGTGGGGATTGTCAGCATGGGGGGTTAGGAAAAAGAACATAATTGTCATCGACAGCATGATATCAGTGTTCAACACCGATGCTTCACTCCCGTAAAACCATGAGTTATTTGAGAGCCATATTGTGGAGAAATGAGTAAAGGTGGACGCGGGCGACTTAGTGCTAGCTTACAATTATTTCAAGGTGCGTTCACCTCCAGACATTCACTCAGGCAATCTGAATAGAAACTGACAACAAGAACGCCACTGACATCGGTTGGCAGCCATATCCTGTAGTGTCTCCAAACAGGCACAGTGAGGACCACGCGGGCCCCATTCTGGAAGGCGAGTACCACCGATAGCACCCAAGCGTTTCGTGATCTCCTTCATACTCCTCTGCCAAGTCAAGGGTTGGCTACCTCTCCATTTACGCCACTCTGAGTTGGGCATGGAAAACAGCACTCTGTTTGGCAAACGATGGTTTGGCATACGTAACACGTGTCCCAACCAACGCAACTTGTGGTGCTGGACACATTCTTCAATGGATTTACCCGTCACCCAAACGAAAACGCGCTTTCTACTTGCCTCATTACGGATTCGCCGACACCAACTCCACACGAGCTATGGTTCTGAGACAACGATTGTCGAACATCTGAAGACATCTCAGTTCCGCTGCTCGAATAAGCCAAATCTCACAGCTATACAACAAAACATCCCGTCCCCTAGCTTGATACACACGTCCCTTCAGATTCAGGGATAAACCATTCTGACGCTATTGGTGTCTCAAGTTAGCAATCGCGGCCCCAGCCTTGCAGATTTGTGCATTCACCTCATCTATCACACTACAATCAGAACTAATACAACTTCCAATATATGTTAAACGCTCCTCAACATCCAGTACCTCTCTGTAGCGTGGGACATAAGGAATTCAGCGGTATTCGACTTTTGAGAGAATGTAGCGACGGCACGTCAGCTCTGAAATGTGCAGATATACGGACTGGTATTAATGAGTCCACACGTTTAACACAGCACAAATGTGCACAGGCCGGGTGAGACAGAAGAGAACACCGGAGCGTGGCAACGACACACGTGTATTCGACCGAAACCGAAACCGGAAGTCGGGGTGTACAAAGTTGGGTCAGGGTCAGTTAGGGGTGTGTACGTGCGGGATACTCTTCCCTGTCCAGGGGTCGTGGTGACTCGTTCGCGGAAGAGAGGGAGGGAGAAGCACACATAATGTCATATGATAGACATACAATCAGGCACAGTCGAGTTTCAACTGCGTTACATCTCCCTCGATTGTAAGTGGCGCGTTCAGTGACCGCATGTCAACAACCATGACCTTACACTTTGTGGGTGCAAAGTGCATACCAAAGAACGCGATGACTTTGGTCAGTTCATCCAGGAATACTTGCGCATTCTCCGCCTGTTCGAGCATGAGAACGATGTCGTCTGCACATTCCAGATCGACGAGGTTTTCTTCACAGGCTATTTGCACACCAGGGTTTTGGAGACCCTCCAGCGTTCGTCTCATTATTTCATCGCTCGCGAAGTTAAAAAGGACCGGGGAGAGTTGGCCTTCCTGACGGACACCGCTTCCTGTACGAAAACGTTTGGAGAGCTCTCCGTATACTCTCACACGTCCGGAAGTCTGAGAATACACAGAGAGTATTATGTTTTATAAACTTCCGGGGTATTCCTTGGCTGGCAAGCGCCTCAAGAAGAACAGACCGATTAACCGAGTCGGATGCGCCTCGGAAATCCAGGAATACTAGAATCGTGGGTCGCTTATACCTATGGCGTTGTTCTAGCACCTGTCGCAGTGAGAAAATTTCCTCAACGCAACCCCTAACAGGCCGGAAGCTCGCTTGCTGCTCTCGAGTCAGTATCTCGTGAGTTACCGTCAGGCGACGAAGCACAATTGACGCCAACAGTCTCGTTACAACCGGGGTCAAGCTGATCCACAGCGATTACCACACTCACTACGCGCCCCTTTTTTGAAAATGGGCACTATCACCGATTCTCCCCAGTTGTCTGGGACAGACTCCTTTTCCCAAATGCAAGCAAACAGGTCGGACAGGCGCTGACTGAGGACTTCACCCCCGTCTTTGAACAGTGCAGGTGGAAGGTCATCCGGACCGGGAGCTCGGTGGCGCTTGAGAGAACATATGCAGTCGTAAACCTCCGAGGCCGTAGGTGGTTCCACGTTCACCGTCCAGGGTTCTACTTCACCTGTGGGCTGTAGATGAGTGCCGGCTGGTGGCCAAGACATTTGTTGTTCAAAGTATTCAGCCCACCGGTCAAGGCGTTCCTCCTTATTAGAGATGGTCGTTCCATTCTGATGCTTGATGCTTTCACTCACAGGTGGTTTCCGGGGACCGGTCGCACGGATTAACTGAAATAATCTCCGGGCATTACCGGCTTTCCGGGCCTCTTCCATTTCTTTGACTTTCTGTGTCCACCATACTTCACGGTTGGATCGCAAGCTCTCTTTCAATTGACGTCTGATGGATCTTCGCATCGGGTTATGTTCGGGACCGGCTGGGATATTTCTTCGAGATTTCAGTAGTGCCACGGTTCGATCTGATATCCAGTGCTTGAGTGAGCCTGGTTGGGTCGTGCCACACGCCAACTTCCCAGAACTATGCGAAGAGGTGGCAATCTCGTCCTAGTATGAGTTCACATCTGATAGCGGGGCATTTGGAAGAGACTCTAGAAGACGATTCTTGTAAGTTCGTCTGATATCCGAATCTGCCAGTCTTTCAGTTGCCATGCGATTTGTCCGCACCTTATGCGGCCCTGGGGAAGCGACTCCGGACGAGAGCGTGGTCAGTGTCCAAAACGATCGGCATTCAGTTATGCATCCACGACATCGGTAACTGATGGCAATGTGGTCGATTTGAGTTTGTGGCCGGCCTGTTGTTGGAGGACACCAAGCGGCCAGACGACTTCGTCTATTTGGGAAGTTCGTACTGCATAAAAACAGCCTGCGATCAGCACACAGCTGAAGCAATTGTTCCCAATCGTCCGTACGTACCGAGTCCAGTCCAAGTCGACCTCCCAATTGAGTCTCAGATGCACTGAGCTTGCCCACTTGAAGCCTGTTCACTTGGGCGTTCTGATCTCTGGTACCACCAGGATTTCTGAACTTTAGCCCGCCGTAACAGGGCACTCATGGTATCATAAAACTTGTTTTCGATGGTGCCAGAGCTACAGTCGGTCAGACAGTAAGGAGACACGACGATCAACCATCAGCTTTCCGCTTGTGAGATTCCTTCACCAGTGTTGCCACACGGACCACATAGAAGCGACTATCAACGGGTATCCAGTCAAGCAAGGGCGTTTTCGCCCGGTGACCTGGGATAATACCTCTCGCAATTACCTCTGGACCGCCAGAGGTATACAGCTGGAAACGAGTGGAGAGTGATGGGACGGCTAGTTCAACCAATGTGCTTACATCCTGAAATCTTGTTTCTGAGACAACATACATCAATTCCAAAAGAGCCCTATGTGAGTGCAAGAACATCTTGTTGTCCTGCTTGCCTCAGAGTGTGGGCATCGAACACGGCCAGATAGAGTGGGTGTCGAGGCTTGAGGGCTGATTTGGAGATTCCTGAAAGGGTGAGCACCTGTGACGAGCAGATGCTGCACGCAAAACCGATGCATGACGAACGGAGTCATCAGTCCTAAGTGGTGGGCCTACAAGGAGAGAGTTACTAATGGGGTGGGGAGAGGAGGAAAAGTATGTGAAGGAGGAAGAAAGGAGGCATCAGTAGTAGCCTGTTTCTGCTTACCTGCCCTGCTGTATGCAACAAGTAAGGCGACCCGGCTGATGGCACTAAGCGACGGCCGATGTGGCATGAGTTTATATGTGTATGTGCAGTTCATTGTTGTACGCGAGCTGGGGTACTGCCAAGGCGCCCATGCCTAGACAGGAGGGCGATTAGGGTCCTCAACCAAAGCCTTCGGCTCAAAAGCCTTACCGCAAGGCAGCGGTGTTTGGTGGGAAATGCAAATGCAAAGCCATGTCTACGGGACAAGTCGCCACGTTCCAGCGTCTAACCTGGAGGGCCAGCAGAATGTGTTCGTCGGACCTCTTACCATTGACCAAGCTGGTATGAGATACTTTGTGATTGTCGGGGGACATTCTCCAGTATAGGTCAATGGGTCGCTGAGGTGCGCAAAACGTCACACCGCGGTAAGTTCCAGTCTCTTCGTGAGGGAGGAAAAGGGACAGCATAAAGGACAGCAGGAAAGGGACAGCATAATATTATTGGGTATTATCCGATGTGGGCACAGGCAGGGAAGCACAGTTACCATACGTTATTGGGGGGAATATCGAGCAAGTTCGGATCGTTAGGATTTGAAGGTGGCGGAAAAAATCAAAGCGAGGGAGGGTAAAACAAAAGGCTTCCTACCTTATACCTGATAAGAAATTTGTAACGGTGAAAAATGAGGAACCAGGACAGGGGGAGTAGCGGATTAGCACTAACAGGAATCACAGAAACCTGGTGTGCAGAGAAATTGTAGAAGGACGATCTCCCAGAATAGAATAATTTAATTTTGTATCCTACAAAATCCTAACACCACCCACACCTGAAAGAATATGTCGTTTCCCACAGCGCTTGGTATGCTGCCCTTTAATGTTGCCTAAACCTGAACTAAATGTTCTTGGGTGGAATTACTTGAATCCACCATCGCCATGCTATTGATTTCAGAAACATGAAATCCTTGCACTATTTCGCGGCGTTCTCTTGAGATTAGCGGACGGAACGGATTGAGACGGAGCTATCTAAAACCGTCCCATGTTGATGGTCTGCCTAAACCTGTTGCAGTAAAACTTGTAACCATTTTTAAAGCGAAACTTTAATGAGTACTTCAAAGACCCTTGACAAATAAAAACGTTTAGCTGTCTACGAAAGACCGTCTAGATGTTCACCCTCCTGGAAGCCTCCCTGATCTCGACCGCCGGATCAGGTCAACTAGAACGCGGTTTCAGTCGCAACTCAACTATTCCATGGTTGCCAGGGTTAAGTGCTAGCCAGCAACAATTCTTCTTTAATTGGATTTATCCGAATTGCTGTTATCATCTTTGAGATTTTTCTTCAAAAACCTTTTTTATCTGATGCCTCCTCGAGGTCGCCAGACACCAGTGGTCTCATTTTATTCCCTCATCACCTCCAGCTATTCCCACGATTAAAACCTTGGCTTAAGTTGCTCCAAACTCCCCGCATAACCGTTGTTTATTCAACCGACTTTTCCCCGGTCTACACCACTGTCCTCACACTTAGCTGAAATTATCCGTCACCCGACATCGGCCTGACTGTCTGTGTCAACCAGACAAAGCTGCCATGGAAATGCGCCGATCCTCTGAACGCAGAAACCTTGACTACCGTAACACGGCTGTCCAGAGACCAATGCAGTCAGTTCAGGGATAGCAAGGCGTCCCACCATAACTATTTCCTTCTTATCATCGACTATTGCCTGTTGCCCACGTGGGTCTCCAATTGCAACTACGAACACATTTTTCACTCAGCCCCAATCGCCTGTGGAACGAGATTATTCTAACGGACTGAACTGTTCGCTCGGGTTTAACAACATGGATTCCCGCTGAAATTTTGGTTTGCCTCCTCCATGAGCTCAATTTAATTTCGGGTGATCATTTGGGATGGTATGATCATGCCATACGGTATGCCATCCGCAAGTTGGGAATGTACGTTA